CTGTTTTGATCTCTTGTCATGAATTCCACAACTATCTTCTTCACTAAGTCCACATCATACAATGTCTCGCTTCCTTGTTGCGGTTTTATCAAGAGTTCTGCCACAGAAGCTTCCTCCAGTTGCTGTCCTATTCTTCTTACAAGCTGTTCCTTTACCGTCTCTCCGGAGTTTACCATAGTGACTGCTTTTAACAGTTTAAGCAAGAAACCGCACGAGACGCTGTCTTTCTCAGCTGGCAGCAACCAAACAAGTGTCTCTATGACTGTCTTATGCTTCACCAAATCTCCTTGCTCCATCACACCCTTGTTAAAACCCGATAATCTTCTATAACCATAAGCTTTCAAAGCTTCTCCAATCACTTCTCCGCCAAGTATGCCTTTGGTGTTGATGTTCATTACAACCCGCTTGTAATAATCAATCTCTAATTCACACAAATCCTCCACCCACCAATCACTTGGAACTTCTCGAGCTCTGATTTGATCCGCAGCGTTGTTTTCTTCGGCTAGTTTCTTTCTGTTGTAAGAATACGACCACTCGACGTGGGAAACATTGACACAAGCCTTACTGGCTATGGCATCAATGCAAAGGCTTACCAATTTGAGATCCTCAGAGAGTGGTAAGAAGGGTTTGGTGGTCTGAAGAACAATGATGGAGTCTTTCCAGCTACGGAAGAGACTCGAGTTAAGAAAGACATCAATCTTGTAGATGAGATTTCCTTTCTCGACTGTCTCATGCATTCCTAGATACTCGGCTGCACATCTGGTGGCCACAACGTTGTAGGCACTTAGAGTTACTGTCATTCCGTAACAGAATTTTGCACATGTCTCGAATGCAGTTGGGCCACCGGGAATACCAGAGATATCAATCTCATCGATGCTATTGTTCTTGTCCGTGCTTGAGAGCAACTTTTGCAGGCATGCACACTTGGAAAGAAGAGGAAACTGCAGAGGATAAACCAAAATCATTAAAACTCAAGTCACAAATCAGTTTCAAGAATCAGCTATGATCATCAGGCCTTCCCAATCAAACACAACGTCCTACCATCTGTCCATCGTTCATCCGACAAAACTAATGAACTATGCGAAACAGGACATTTACAACTGATACTTGCAAAACTAATGTCTGAACTAAGGACCGGTTAAATGTTCTCCGCAGAACTAGTAGATAACAGTCAAGTTTAGATGTGATCCCATGTAAACATATGAATATAAAATAAATTGCGGATTGGAGACAAATTTTACATACCTTATGCAGACAAAATTTTGATCTCTCGACACTGACAGCAATGTCACTAGCCAGTTCATTTTCAACGTACCTGTGTGAGATCAAATCAGCATCTAGAATCAGCGTAGAATACTCTGTTTTCAATATGAAAGGCATATATCATAATAGTATATGCTCTCTCTACAGGAGAGGAAAAAAGGAATTCATAATGAAAACTTGATCATAGCTTCTCACATCAGGATTCGATTTCATATTAGCTTTAAAAAGATGAGATAAATTCACATCATGAAAAAGAAGAAACACAAGGAAATATCTCAACAGTAACAGTGAGAACAAGCTAAAACCTGATCAAGATTGGTTTCATAAAACATTACCTGACATTGTTCCCATCGGTTTTAAACGAATCTGGCTTCGACCCAATTTTCATGAACTTCATCTTCTCCCCCCCCCCTAGGAAAAACCTCTTGAAGAGCTAAAGATCAATTACTCGCAGAGAAAAAGAAAGACCAAGGAAAAATCACAACCTCCACTTGTTCCAAGTTGGTTTAAGCATAACCAAAAGCATTCCTTTAAAAGGAAAGAAGATGTTCCAAGAACTGAGGGTGGGGACCAGATTTTTCCTTTTATGCAACTAACTTAACTTCTTCCCTTGGAGATCT